GGGGGGGGGGGGGGGCTAGAGGTCCAGTACCATGTCTTGACCGTTGAGAGAGGTTAATCCATTCAAAACCAGAGGTAGGTGCAGTTATGCCCGATGATTCACCCATGGAACTAGTTTTTATTCGTCGCTCATTACGTAACATACGGAGCCTTTAGCCCGTCCTGTGCGCGGTGTTATGTGATATCCAATCCACGCCTCAGTACTTATCTCGCTGTTCCCTGGCGGCGACGCTGCACACGACGCGCGCTCGAAATTCGCGACTCTTCCCGGTTCGAACTTTCGGAAAGTTGTAAAGTTGAGCGTCAGTGAACTTGCCGCGAATTCCCAGGAGCAGGTGCATTGTGCATCGGGTGCGAGAGGCCTTTACGTAACGCTGCATTCACGCGTGCATGACGTAACCGCTTTCGGACGATCGCGCAACGGTTTTCCTTGCCTTTTCAGGATTCTATTATTGTGATTTCGTCTACGTCTGACTCATTTTCCCAGGTTCGTGAACTTTGATCGTTGTGTTTTGGATTCCTCGCAGATTTTTTCGCGCCGTATACGGCGCGGTGACGGCGTTGATGCCGATGCCAGTAGGCGTTGTTTTGATAGGCCGTGCCACTGCTTTCGTCCAAGATTTGATTAGTTTAGTCGAGTCAGACGTCTTGCGCATGACCGAAAAAACACCCCCTGAATAATTGTACATGGTTTTGGTTTCAATAATGTTAGGCTAAGCTTATCTGAGGCGAATATTACAAAAATAAATTAACGTATTTAATTATTACATTGCGCAAATTATTGTTACGTAATGTGCGTTAATTATCGGAAGGATTGAAAACGTAACCCTGAAACTCGAAGGAGCGGAATCCAGGGTTGCCACAGTCAGGGAATACCGGGAATTGTCAGGGAATTTTAGTTTGTCAGGAAAAACCGGGAAACGTCAGGGAAAATGACGAAAATGTCCGGGAAAATTTGTTGAAACTCCTTTATTTGCGCTCTAAAATAGGTTTGAGGTTTCGAACTACAAATTTTGCCTGAAAACAATTTTCAATTATGTCCTCTTAACCGTTTGCCATATCTTCAATCGTCAGGGAATTTTACCAAATTGTATCAGGGAAATGTGCGGGAATTTCATTTTCCAAATTCTGTGGCAACCCTGGGAATCATGTTGTCTACGCGGCTTGGGAAGGGGGTAAAACGTGAAAAATCAGGGGGGGGGGATTAAGCCAGCCATAAATATTAGGGTTTGCAAACCAATCCTAGTCGATTTTTTTAAGAAAAAAAAAAAGAAAAATAAATGAATAAATCCGGAAGCTTGTTCTTTTGCGCAGTTTTCCTGGTCCTGTGAGATCTTACAAATTTGCGGTACAGACATCTCGGGAAAATATGATTTTAAACACAGTAATTAGACTTTATATCAGTTCAAAATAAGCCATACAATGTCTCTCTTTTCATGCGTTCTGATTGATTGCCGGACAAAAATTTTGGAGTATGTCATGTCACTTTGGTCAAGAAAAACCTAGCAAAGAACTAGGATTTGTTTCCTTGAAATCGCTAGACTTTCTGCATTAGTTGGCAAAATATCATTCTAACTACATTTTGTATACCTATATAATATGTAGGTAGGTTTTTTACGGATTGGCTTAAAACAGTAGTCCCTATTCGCAAAATGAAGTCCATTTTTGAAAGTTGGAAGTGGAATGCTCAGAAATTACGGATTCAAATTGACCCTGTATTTATTACGCAGGTAATTGAGTTGATATACGCATCATAACGGAAAATTTTGAGACCATTGTCATTTGATACTGTCCTTGTGACGTCATGAATGTAAACAGATGACTACCCGGCATCCTCACCTCAATACAATCAATTTTTGCGCATTAACACCCTCGGAAGTTCAAAAAATTGCCACGGAAGGTTCTACTTCGCATGGAATAGCTATTTGAAAAATATTCTGGGAACTTCGGTTGAATTTGATTGGTCTATTGAAAAAAATTGTCTATGTATTACGCAGAAAATTTCCTTAGTTAATCATCAATTCATCCATACAAAAGTGAATTGTCTTCGGTGATCATGAATCATTCCATTAGACTTACTCCCTTATGCCAAAAACTGTTTCAAACCTCGTTTTATCAAACTCATCCTTCGCTCTTCGAAGGATTAAAAGAGTTTTTTTGTGCGAAACCCAGGGAAATTATAACATAGGAGTAATTATTGAAAAACATTATCTAGAAAGCAAGCAGCAGTCAGCTAGTGAGTCAGCGTTGTGTTGATATGAAGAGTGCTAATACTTAATGCTACTGCAGAGATCTGTCAGGATGTGGAGGAGTTTGTTATCAACAATTTGTGTTTTGATGATTGCGTTTAAAGTAGATTATGCATACTTATCTTCTTATTTTCTACTCAGAAATTGATCGTTGAGGAATAATAAATTACCTTCTAATTTTAGAATTTTTACACCATGATGTGATTTCACGAAAAAAAAAAAAAAAAAAAATAGTTTTGCTGGTGGCATATATTATTCGAAGTGTCTACGTTGACTATAAATTTCATTATTGCTACGAAAATACTGACTGAATTTTTCTCTTTTTTCAAGTTTATTGGAAGCACCTAACTCTTGATAGGTCGGTAGTCTGAAGTAAATTTTTTGATGGAATCGTCTCGAAATATCAAACTGTTCATAATTTTTAACGTCAAAACAGTCCATAGTGATCGCCGGAAATTCCAAAAACTGACTAATTATGAGAAGATTTTGTATCTATGTAAAGCTTATGTTTACTTTTAACTGAAACTATAACGTTTTGCGGGTTTTTTTTACGATCAGAATGTTAAACTTCATGCTATATAAAAAGAAAAAAAATTCTAGATCCTGATGCTGTCACAATTTTTTTTTAGTCACGGTCGCTGGTTTCAGCCTGGAGCATATATCCAGACGCAGCGATCAAACACACGCCCTCCTATTTACCTACTTTCCATTTAATTCTGTTAATATTTTGAATCACTCACCTTGAGTCTCAAGTTCACACTTGTTAAAATTTTAGTGTGTATCTACTCTCCAATACCGTATCGCATCTCTCCCAGTTTATCAGTATCAGTGTGACGTAGGCCTCCTAAACTATAGTAGCCGCCATCCCCTCTCTCCCTCAATGGAACCGGGCTTTTCTCCCAGTAGAATTTAACGATTTCTACAGTTTGATCATTCAAAAATCCTGGGTGAAGGGGGGAGGAAATTGCATCGGTTGCATAATTTCATACAATATGCGCATACGTCGCTCTAAAATCGCAGGATAATAATTTTGTTTCAAGTTTTTTCCTTCTCTTCCACACTTTTAGAGCAACCCTTTGAGAAGTTGAAATAACAGGTAATAATCTCAGCGGCGGCTTGCAAAGGGAGGGCAAAGTCGTTTTTTGTGAGAGGGACGGGTTAAACTTACAGAAACCTGTGTCATCTAAATTGACTGATCGATGACGAATTTTTCTGGTCGCAGAGAGAGAATGGCCGTAACCTCCAACCCCCCCTATTGTTTTCGAAAGGAATCTGCATCCTTCTGCGACCTATATTTTTTGCTGTCAGTTAAGGGGGAAAAACGAAATTTCTTTGTAGGTATATTTGTCTCGGGCAATTAGCAAATTGCTAGCGAATTGCTATCTGGTGAAAAATTCATAAGTTAAGAAACAAGAGCGAAAGCACTGATTATTTTGCTTGGCATTCAGATAAACTTTTTTTTTTCTTTCTGAATGCATTGGATCAGCTTGCACACTTGCGAGCACGTGTGGTAAAATCAGTGACCTTAGTCGAGTTTGGTTCAGATAGGCAACTAAAATAACTCTCCGGCAAAGCGGAGAGTATCACCCGGATTTGAAGGCGCTCTTGACCGAGGTTCTGCTTTTGAAGAACCTCACAAATGAAACCTTCAATAAAATAATGCGGATTATTAACGACTCCTCTGTGTGATCAAAGGGAGCCTAAGTCTAAGTAAAGAAAAACCAATGATAGACAATGATTGACTGCTGTCATATATGCACAGCATTTCTGACGTGTCAAACCTTGTTTTATATTGAATTGAATTCGCAAAAGTACGATTTTCTATCAAATAATGGTTGATTTTTTTTTACAGCTCCCCCAGGCTTCTATCCCGGCGGAGTGCAGCAGCCAGCCTATCCTCAGCAACCAGGTTACCCAACACAACCAGGCTACCCACCACAACCCGGTTACCCTCCACAGGGCGGTTACGCGCAACCAGCTGCGTATCCAACTCAGCCAGGTACTTTTTTATTCCTTTCTTTTTTAACAGTTTTTATATTTTTTTTTTAAAAAAAAAAAATTCATTTTTATTTCCTTATTTTTGATAAATTGATTTATTTTATTGATTAATGAAATCAGAGGAACCCAGTTTTCTCCAAGTCAAAAATTGCAAATAAAGCAATGTTTTATATTGTAATCAGCAATCTAAATGAAACAGCAGAATTCGCTTACTTTAAGAGTTTAGAAGTAACCGAGGCTCCATTTTTTAACCTGACTCAAATGCCCATTGATAAATTTAGGCAGAAGTAATACAATGTGCACTGTTACTTCTCTTAAGTCCACTTCAACTTCCATCACAATAACTACGACTCTCTGACTGCAGTTGACTTTATTAATGATTCTATCATATTTTTTTAAGCTGTTTATCATTTGAACCCAAAAGAAATGGACATCTGAAAACTGTCGCAGGATTTTAAATGTAATAAATGATGAAAAATCAATCCTCTTGTTTCTTCGTAACATAGGCAGCACATCATTTCTTAAACTAACAACAGATGCTATTTTTCATGATATTTTTTCAGTTGAGGAGACATTTCCCACCAACTTACGCGTTTGAAAATTTGAAGTATGTTAGTGCTAAACAAGTCCATATCATTTTCATTAGTGCCTTCTTCACTAAAGTTCATGGATTAATAATATGTCTTATTTTTTCTAGGTTACCCTGCACCTGGTGGTTACCCTCAAACCGGCTTTGCCCAGCCAGGTTACACAGGTGGAGCAGTTCCTCCTCCCGCTTACGGAGCTGGTTCCCCCGGCAGCGCCATGCCGTCACAATATGGAGCATACAACAACGATGATGTTGGAGGTGGAATGGGCGCTTACGCCTTCTCCGACAAGACTATTCGACTTGGATTCATCAGGTAAAATTTTGGAAATCTTATCAACTACACAGGCTGTACCATAATTGGATATCATCAAAAAGAATGGATCTATCCATGAGGAGGAAGATTTTGAAAAATAATGTGTAGTCAGATAGAAAGCTTTGAAAGCTTCTTGCTTTTCCAAAACTCTCTTTGCAGATAAAACTGTTCTACTCAATGATATCCAATGTACGAAGGGGTTGTATTATTCAGCAAACAGATAACACTTAGCCATAATAACTGCACTATCAATGGAAATTTTGGTCAAAAAATTCCACACAAATGAAAGTGTAGATACATGAATGCACAGTTAGTAATCACTGATTGTGAGCTCAACTAAAGACCCTGCAAATATCGATAGCTAAAGTTGAAAAATGCGTTTTTAAATTGCAGCATTTCAAATCTCTGCCAATGTTATATTTTTTTAGAGGACAACCAACTAACAGTTCCTATTTAAATTTCCTGCAAATTTTCCTCAAAAAATTGCAATGAAACATTCTGATTGCATAATTTTCATTGAAAAAGTGATTGACGATTTTACATGTCGCAATTAAGATATTCACTTTTTGCATTTAGCCGTTGATTTGTTTAACTTTAAGGCATGCCGTAATCCCTCAGCTGCAATAGAGTTTGATTTTTATTGTCAGGTGGGGGATCATTAAATTGGGCATCCATAATGATTAGTATAAAGTTGGATTTGACACACTTTTACAGGAACCAAGGCCAGGGGTGCAGAAAATCGTGCATCTCATGATCTTAGGGTCATGGCAAACGTGAGACAGTTTAAACAAATGGTTACTTCTTTTTTTTTTTACACTGTAACTTCATTAAGTAAAACCAATAGCACATTTTTTTGTGCAATTGGGTATTTTGGCGTAAAGTCAGACATTTGGCTGGCAGAAATTAGTCGGCGTTTTAAAACTTACTGAACCTCTGACAGTAGAAACTAGCTCTGTAATCTAGACAAAAGACTCTCTTGTGCCTGCAAAAATCAGTTTTACATTATCATGAAATTTTTAACTTATCAAACTGAAAAATTTCAAAAGGCAAGTGCTGTATTTCTCATGATCAATGCCAGATGTTCGACTGACCTTGTTGCAAATTCAATTCCATAATCTGAAAAGGCTCCTCTTTTAATTTTTCAGGAAAGTGTACAGTATTTTAATGTGTCAGCTCGCCATCACAACAGCATTTATTGGAATGTTCAAATGGAACACCGCTGTGAACAATCTAGTCAAAGCAAATCCTGGAATGTGGTGGATTGCTATGATCATGATGTTTATAACTCTCTTCGCTCTAACATGCTGTGGCGATCTGAGTAGGAAGTCACCTCATAATATCATTCTCCTGTTTCTCTTTACTGTAGCAGAGAGTTTCCTAGTGGCAACGTTCACCATTCACTTCCAGACAGATACGGTAAGCGTTTTCAGCAATATTTCACCACAGAAGATTTCAATATTTGAATGGCTGTTGTATGAATTTACAATCGATCATATCCAATTCCTTTTCAAACCAATATTATTTGCTCGAACGGAAGGAATAAAAGTTGAGCCTGTTAATAATATGTTTTGTGCTCAAATTGTCTCTTGAATCTATTACAAGACATTCCTATACTGCCGCTCTCAAAAAGAACGCTGTATGAGTCCTCAGGCATGGCCAAGTTTCCTTTAATTTACAAATTCATTAGAAGAGCTAGGAATATTTTTCTAACAATTTTTCTTGCAGTTAAATCTAAAATAAGCGAAAATGTCAAGGGAAAATATGCATAACTTTCTTCAAACATTCATTTTTATTAGGGGAAATTCGCCAACGTTCATATGTTTACATGACATTTTCCCATAGCACAGCAGTATTGCTCTGTGGCTTTTATTACTGAATTAATTACCTTCTTTTGTCAGATGATCTGCGAATTTGTCATCCAAACTGAAAAATTTTGAAAAAAATAATTGTGAATTTCTAAGTCTCTTTCAACCTCCCCATATATTTTTTGTATGGTGATCACTCATTGAGAGTGGAGAAACATGAGGACATTGAACCCTATTTGATTGAAAATATTTTCTTCATCACTCTTGGACTAACTAGAGAGGCACAATGTTGAATTATATTTATTTTTTCCAAAAATCTCATCGACAAACCCCAGTGGAAAACCAAATAAAACTGACAGTAAAATATCACTATTGATTTTTAAATTAATTCAATTTTTTTCATCAGATTACTTTTGTTGTTACATCAGGAGTTTCAAAAGCAACTTTTTCGAAATTGACCTCTGAAATGTGCTTTGACACTCATTTTCTCCGTCTTTAACTGTTCATCATCCTAAACAGTATTCAAGTGGTAAAATTGGATAATGTGTGTTTGTTTTAGTTTATCTTATGAAAGTTACCTCACAATGTGCACTGTAGTTTCATCGTGCAAATAAGAGCAGGCCACTCTTACTTGGTGCAGCAGTAGCCAGTTCCTGATATTGTGGCTTTCAAGTCGTATCTTTCAATATCATTCAATTTTGTTCAAACTTTGACTAACTTGTGTCATTTTTCTAATAATTTTACAGGTTTTGCTAGCAGCTGGTCTATGCACAGTGGTGTGCTTTGGTCTGACTATTTTCGCATTCCAGACTAAAATTGACTTCACTGTAATGGGTGGCGCTCTCTTTATAGCAGTACTCATTCTGATGCTCTTTGGGCTCGTAGCCATTTTCTTCCCCGGTAAGACCATTACCCTGGTGTATGCGTCCGGTGGAGCCTTCATCTTTTCTCTTTACCTCATCTACGACACGCAGATGATGCTTGGTGGTAACCACAAGTACTCCATCTCGCCTGAGGATTACGTTTTCGCTGTTCTTAGCTTGTACATGGACATCATCAACATTTTCATCAACATTCTCACCATTTTGGGAGCCACCAGAGACTAAATTACTCAACATTTTTGTCCCTTAAGGCTGAAGTTGCGAAGCTGAAGGTGTCCAGTGCTCCGCTAAGCTACAGAAATGTAGCAACAAGGACTCTTCTTTTTTAAGTTGAATTATGTTTGAGAAATGTCATTGTTTCAAGGTCAAATTAATTTTGATTTTGAAATCCAGCCATCAAAATCGGCCTGTTTGTACCAATTTTTAAGATATTTCCTCTGTGAATATGTGACTTTTGGGGTCTTTTCAAATACAAGCTACTCCTGTGTCAGAGCTGATAATGATGCTTAGTTTTTTGCTGTGCACCAGGAAAACATTCCCTCCTCTATTTAGATTTGGTACAAGTGTTTTATCTCTAACTGTGTTGTGTATCACTATCAATACCTCACATTGCATAAATTCTGTAATTTTCATAACTTATGTAATTTAAGGTTTTCTATTTATGATAAAACCTCAAAGCCTAAATATCAATATAGTAATCTTGACCCCTCAGTCCTATTTCTTTGAACTCCAGTACATATTCTATCCTTGCAAGGCACAATATTAAATAGATTAATTCCTCTGTTGTTTTTTTTGAGTATCGATATATTTATTTTATCCTTGCAAGGCACATTGTTGAATTGGTTAATTTTTCCGTTGTCAAAAGAGAGTTATAGTCTCTGTGAACATATTTTAAACCCTTAAATTTGCTGCTGTTTTTTTCCATATACAGGGAAGGGGGATGATACCACAGAATTTTAGTGAGCTAAATGAAGTTTTTGTTTTTTTATGATTTCCTAAGTTGAAAAAAATCTGTAAAAATCATGTTTTTGCTCCTCAATGTAACCAGTGGTTTATTGACATGGGTTGTGTAAAAGCTGAGAATGTGCATTGTTCTTGCAGTCTAGCGTTTTGTTTCTTTTTTTCCCATTTTACCCTTAGTTGTCTTTTTGGTATGTACATCAAGTGAAAGAATGTAAAAATATCCATACCTATTCGTTCCCATACACAATGCATATTTTGTCACGAATCATGCTTCACACAATAATTAATTTTCTAAGATAAACAAAGGTCAAGCAGGAACCCTTAAAGGTTTCAATTTTGTGCCTAAAGTACCTTAAGACTGCGTAGATAAAAACTCAGATTTTCCAATGTCAACTCTCTGTAAAAAATCTCTCCAAATTTCCGTAGTTCTCCTCCTACACCTGTAACTTTTTTAGCCTCTTTTGCATTTAAATATTAATATCTCAACTTTTGCGGAAGCCTGCAAATTTTTACGATTTACTTAACTTAGCATTTTGTGCATAAAAATAGACATTTTTCAGGCAGTATTTACTAAATCTCTTTTTCTATATTTTCCAATCAATAAGGTTAAGTTTTAAAATTTCATGTAATCAACTAACAACCATAACAACCATTTTGCATTACTATTTGCTGATTAGAATTCCTGACTTGTTTATTTGAAGCCGTTTTAAAGTACACCGACGCATGTTCTTGACGTATGTAAAATAGTAACACCTTATAAACTGGCATTTTCTATATGCTTCTTGAATGTTGTCTCCTTCATTTCTGTTTGTTTGTTATTTTCGCTAAATATTATATTCACATTGTCACTTGTCTGTGGAATCATTTGGACTTTAAAAGAGGTCATGTAAAATCTTGTCGGATAAGTCCTTCTGGTTTGCTTGAATTTATTCACGACCCCATTGAACTTGAAATTGTACCTTTCCAACACAAGAAACTAGGGTAAAGTTTTCAATCTCGAATTCCAGAGTGTGGTTTCATACAATTTATACTCACGTTAGTACACTATCTCTGACAGCATCAAATTTCTGATGGAACTAAGCAGAAAACCAGTGGTGAAACCGTCAAGTGAAAATGAATGATACTTTTGTATCTACATTCCAACTGTATGTGGCTAAGACTTGCTTTCTTGAACATGTCATTGTTTTTTACTTTTTACGTTGATAAATTGATGATAATGAAAACAAATTTGAGGAAGAATAGACTGATTTAGTGGCTGTGTTATAATTTTATATAGCAATTTTGATGGTTCAAATGTTAACGAACACACTGTCTTGACGTATTTGCATTATGTTGGTAAAATGCAAATGGGTGTCTCCGGCAATAGAAAGTTCTTGTGTTAAATGAGTCATTATTTAATTTTTGACTCGTCAATGACCTAATTGTCAAGAGTTGACACAAGAGACTCACACAAGATTTGGACGTGAGGTTATATTCAATGGTTTTATTTTGAGCTATCACAAATCAATCATGCAATATATTGCGAAGCGATAAATCGAACATCGTAAGAATGACGCAGCCACTAAAACGGCCTATATTCATGGCAAAGTTCTCTGAGCACACCTGCTGGAAGGGCTCTCATTAAGAAAATAATGCGACTAAATGTGATACTTTTTGAAAACGAATCTGAAATTGATATCATCAATCGATTAATACTCCTGCAATGGCAGCATTTTTGTGTGCAAGTTAGTTCAGTAAACATTTAAACACATTTTTCAGGAAATGCTGTTGTTTTGCGAAACTTGCAGGAGCAGAAATTTTAGGCAATTGTTTTTTTCTACCTTTGATCTCGCATTGTTTTCGGAGTCAAGCTTTTCACAATTTTATTGTAAATTTTGATTCTTCTTCTTAAGTATGTTATTTTTTCACCTTTCCAGTCACAATTTATATGTATTAAAATTGCTGTTTTTAAAAGCGAAAACGGGGCTTACGATCGTACAGAGCATAATTGATTTTCCCCCTCAGAACTGATTTGTTTCACATAATAAAATAAATTGGTGTATAATTTTATTTATCACCATGTGACTTTCTTCTTTTTAAGTTTGGTTTTTTTTCTTGCTCTTATTTATTCTCAGTTTGCATTGAATGTATTTGTTCCTATGGTTAGTATTAAAATTTGAATGAAATCTCATAGCTCAGAATCAGTTCCATACCCCTTCTGTATTGCCCGTGAAAAATTGTTGTTCTTATTTTAAGAACAGACTTTATGGAAATTTATGAGATATTCAAGGAAATTAACTATCTCAAGTGGACGATTCACAGAATAGGAAGTCCTTACTCAATACAATAACTTATGGCGCAGCAGTTCTGTAAGGAAATCATTTCATTCATTGTGTAAAGGCGTTGTATTTACTGACAATTTTTCAAATTTTAGTCAAGCAATGCCCGAATTAAAAATGTCTCTCACTCTGGAGCATACTCTGTCAAATTTAACTGTATTGCCTGGAATTTTTTCATGGTGATCAGACATGTGCTGGAAGCTTTTTATTTTCTAAGAAGCTTCACCCGAGAGACACTAACTAAAATAGTTGAGAACTTGAGAACATAATGTGTAAAATATTGCCTAGATGTGCTGCTTTTGCGTCAGTAATCCAATAAACGGAAATATTTGTATCAATCTAGAGGTTTTTTAAAAAAGTTCCCTCAATATAGTAGTATCCCTGAGAATCTAGTTTTTTGTTTCCTACATTAATGCCCTCAGTCACCAGTCAGTTTTTGTGACCTTTTCAATACATTACCTGTAAATAGTTGGCATCAATAAAGTATTTTTATCTGAATACGTACATCTTTGAATTGAGTTTGATCATTCTATTTTTAAATGAAAACACTAAAAATCGAGCCCTAAGTTTCTTTGCCATTTATGTCATACAAGGAAAAAATTTAACAGTATGATTAAAATCTGAAGACTCTTTTGTGAATAATCAAATACTGTAGCAGAAAAGATAGTAGATTATGAATACTGTGCTGTAGATGGAAAATTGTGTAACTTAACTGTACCCATCAGTGGCTACACGGCTCTGGCTCAGTACTACAGTGTACCTTCCTCTCCTAAAGGATAGAAAACAGATAAGTGGCAACTAACAAGTATCATTAAAATTTAAAACTGAAAAAGAGCATTTGACACCATTGCTATGGGAAGGAGAGGAGGGTGGCAAAAAAATGGGCCTGTTGCGCAATTTTTTTATTGGTTTAATCGAAAGAATTAAGGCTCCTAATGTCACAAGAATTTTCCCGGAGTTTTTTGACCACCGGGAACCCCCCAAAAAATCATCTTAAAAACGCCGCAAAATTGAATTCATAATCGGCGTTTATGGTCAGACGATCATCTGAGCAGTAGTAAAGTTGGCACGACTCGACTCATGGGGCTTCTCGGGTGGCATTTTCAGCTCATAAAAAATTAAAAATTAGCATTGCTGTACAGCCTAAATGAGGTGACGCTTCAAGTTGAAACTTTGCCTAGGAAGTTAATTCGCCTTACCATAAGCTTTCATTTGAGTCTTGTCTCGTTAACCAACTCAGGCACCCAAGAAGGGGCGAAAAAACACCCCTACTTCTGCCGAGATAGCGAAGAAAGCAGTAAGTGCACGCTGGGCTGGGATTTGATGAACCTCGAGACACACAAAAGCATGTGCTAACCATGGCTCATACAGAATTGTACTTATGGTACTTACTGCTCTTTTCGGTATCACGGCGAAAATTTTGGCGACGCTCTTTTAAACTTCCCGCCAATGTGGTACTTGACCTTTGATGACGCCATCAATCAACACAGCCCATCTGTGATTGGTTACTCTCGATTCTATGATCCAATCAGATTTGTGAAATGAATGCGTGGTGACGTAGTCAAATGTCCGGTGTACAAATATCTTCGTCCGCCATCACAGATTTCATTTCCGCTTGTGACGATGGAAGGTACGCGCGTGTGAATTGCTTGTGCCGGAAAATGGCGGATAACCACTCTGGGACTGGTAAGGAAACTCGAAATTTATCTCTTTTAATCCTGTAATCTGGTGAATTAAGTGCACGAACTAATGGTCATTTCATTTACTTGAGGTACACTCTTTAGTCTTAAATCTCACGAAGGTCCTGCCGGGTCTCTTAAGCATATTAGCCACGAAAGCATGGCTTCTCCTCTTCTCAGCCTAATCTATGGCCTCGGTTCTGCGTCCCCAAATCGTCCAATTGAATCTGCAATTGCCAGAATTTGCGCATCCCAGTATCCCAAAATGCCCGTCAAGTACTTATCTCCTTCTAGTGGTGATGGTGATCCTGTTGTTTTGGCAGAAACCCTCTCTCAGTATTGGCCGTTACCATAAGTAATTTGTCACCAGCCGCACCGAATCCCTACTCTTTTCAATTCCTTGATAGTTCGGCTTGCAGTTTTGCTGTGGCTCAGGTAATCTATTCCTAAGGCCTTTGGTACTTGAACTTAAGTTGACTGCAGAGACCCCACAGTCTGTTTGCCCCCTATGTAGCGATCCTTCAAATCTGAGATCTTGAGCTCTGAATCAATGTCGAAGGCCTTGTCGCGGGCTTCTACACAGGACTGGCTGAACGCCACATTTGTGCGGTGGGTGCATGTCAAGGCTGCCTCAGTTTCTAGAGCATGTGTCAGTTTCATCCATTCCACTTACTGATTTAACGGATGTCCTGTTGCCTTGGGTGATGGTACTGAATGAGAATCATCTTCACCATTACCAAGTGTGAGATATGAATTTAGATTACCCCGTTTCATATTCCCAAACTTGGAGGTTCAGTCTGGGGGCATCCATGTGGGTGGTGACTGTTGAACATTTCCTATAACTGCACAATTCTACATCTATAACAACGAATGAGGTAAAGCCACATGCTTCAGTCATTGTTGCTTTTGGAGTTTTGGTTCGAAAGTCATCAGTTTGTGGACCTTTGAAGTTCTTCAGTCAACACCAGCATCGATGCCCCCAGGCTGAACCTCCAGTTCAAACGTACGGAGCGGACTATGGAATCGACAGGACTGTTCTGAGAGAGGCTTATGGGATCATTAGGACAAGGCCCTTCAGTTTGAAGAAAATCATATTGTCACACCAGAAGGTTCTGTGAATTAGGAGGAATAACTTGAGTGCCTGATTGGTTCTAATTTCCAATTTTCCTTTTCACACTGTGGTAAGTATTGCTATCTGATGCATCTTATTTATCGGGCTGTAAATTGATCTGTATCAAATCAGAAGAGTTTCTAGGTTATTTTTTTGTGTTGCAGGTTATTCCACCCCATTCCTTCAGATTTTCCTTTAATCCGCTGTTAAGAAGACTTGAAAGATGTATTTGTACAATCTGACCCTCCAGAGGGCCAGTGGGATTACCCATGCAGTCCATGGGAATTTCAGTGGTGGGAAAGTCCAAGAAATCCTTGTGTCACGAGGGAAATCCCTAGAGTTGCTACGCCTGGATCCATCCTCTGGGAAAGTCCACACGCTCCTGACTGTAGAAGTCTTCGGCGTCATCAGATCATTGATGGCTTTTCGCCTGACAGGAGGCACCAAAGGTAAGAGCCCCGAGGGAATTCACATATCCATATCTCGGAGAGTGTTCAAGGTTAGAGGCCCAATTGGATAGGGAAGAATTGAAACTGAAGTTGAGCAATGAGCTAGAAGTTGCATACGTTGGTGTGAGAGTGCGCGGTGAACGGAATTTCCCATATTACTGTGCTGACTGGCTAAGTAAGAGTTGTGGATGGACGATGTATATACAATTGCCTGGATGGAGGTGGTCCGACAGCAACATGCCCGCTGCCTGTCACTGGAAATCAATAGAAAGTAGTAGTTGCTTACGAGCGCCTCTGTTTCAATTTCTTGGCATTAAGTCAGGCCTCCAACCTTCCATACTCTCTGCCATATCTCAAGGTCATTCATCATGGCTGAGCAAACTTAAACTGATTGGACTCTAGTTGGAAAGTCAAGCCTTGAGGCAGTTTGAGTCAGCATTTTTCATCAGGTTAAAAGAATAGTCAAAGGACATTGTTGATCTATCATTCATGTACCAAAGGATGGATTTACTTTAATCCTAACACGCCCGCACTTATTCCCTCTGGCAAGTCTGCAATTTGGCTAATCTAGTTGTTTGGATCTCACTAGAAGCAGCCTACCTGAATAAGACATCACCTATTTCTCTCCCATTTACTTTGCCATTAGAGAAAGGAGCAAAATTCTCTCTTGAAAGCTTGCAAGTTTATTTTCTTAACATTCTAGGGGAAATTCCCAAAGAACTCAAGGCATTGAATCTTTTATGAATCACGTATAGTCATCAAAACTTACTGCAATTATAATTATCCAAATTGAATTGTGTTGGGTTACAACCGCTAATGTCCATTTTTTCAATCTCAGAGTTTTTTTGAGTTCATAATACTTTTCAGACTGACAGAGAACCATGTAAGTGGTGTTAGTACTCGATTAAGGGTATTTTAATCCCATAAAGGGGCTTAGCGCCACCTTCACGATTATATCAACTCTTAAGAGATATTATCAACACGAAAAAAACAGAAAGCTGGAAAAATGGAAATCAGCGGTTTTCGCACCACAAGATTCAATTAAGAATGCCATTTATTTTGATGGCAGTTTCATTTGAAATAACTGCTCTGATCTAATGGTAGTGTCAACTAAACTTTAAGAGAGAAATGAGTGGTGCTAATTTCAATCTCTCAGTTTCAACTTTACTGACTGTCTTTTCCTCTTTTCAGATTACATTGTGGTCGGATCGGACTCGGGACGTATTGTGATCTTAGAATATATGCCTTCGAAAAATCTCCTAGAGAAAGTTCATCAAGAAACATTCGGAAAAAGCGGATGTCGGAGAATCGTTCCTGGACAGTATCTAGCAATTGACCCAAAAGGAAGAGCTGTCATGATAGGTATGAGCCTTTCATGCTTCTCTTGCTTTAATTATGTGTCCCTTAATTTATTATTACAGGATTTTGGCTAGTACTCGATACTTTATGTGTCTGTTAGAAATATTTTTTTTTTTTCAAAAAAAAAAAGGAGAAATTGAGAACTTTTCACAGTAGACCAAAAGCCTCTGGTTGTAAACCAAGCGAGACTCTTGTAACCGAATTGCTTTCCCTTATTCGAAGGAGTTCATTTTCAAATGGAATTAAATTCCTTCAGCTTAGTATCATCTGTTCTGCCTTGTAACTTTAAAAATCCTGTGCCTTTGAAGGCAGAAAGAAGGCTATTGAAAAGAGAAAACTCTTTTCAATAGATGGTACTTAGATCTGTTTATATCTGACTGTCTTATACCCACTTATGTCGGCACAATTTTAAGCAGCAGTACAAGTTCCTCATCGCTTTGTACTGTGTTCACCATGTGCTATATCAAATGTTTCCTTTTCTTAACCAAGCTTGGTTATTATACCAATCATGGTTTCTGAAAGTAACCACATGCTGCCTTTTTTTTTTGTCTAATGTTCTTACTTTTTTTTCTTTGAAGACTCAAGCTCACGATGATGATCTGTTTTGAAGAAACTTGGTTTTTGTATCTCAATTACTGAGGTTTTTTTTTTAATTTGCAGGAGCAATTGAAAAGCAGAAATTAGTTTATACTTTGAACAGAGACGGACAAACTAGGCTCACGATCTCATCGCCAGTAGAGGCACACAAAAGTAACACACTAGTCTACCATATCGTTGGTGTGGATGTCGGCTTCAATAATCCATTCTTTGCATGTTTGGAAATAGATTATGAGGTTTGTACCCTCTTTTTTTCCAATCTAGTAACTAATTAACAGTTCAAGGAAACAATCTTGCCCTCTCTTAATTCCTGCCAAAAAAAAAAAAAAAAAAAAAAATTGATATCAAGCTCAGTAATTAAGCTGGGAGAGTTAAACTTGGGATTGGATTCTTACTTGCTTACCAAAAAAAGCAAATTTTCAGCACTTCTTTAACTCAAGTCAGGTAAGTTGGCAGCTGTTCACTTTCTGTCTGCAAGAGAAAAGGCTTCTGAGAACAGATGCGTCTAACTGCGTTTGAAAGTCACGAGTAAACAACTCCCATTTTACTTGTTTGAAGTTCTTCTCAACTGTCTTTTGTCATGTCAAGGGGACAATTATCAGATTTCTCTTACAAATTCGATATCTAAGAAGAGTGTAGAATTTGCACAATAATTCGGCAGCGATGCAATGTGTTGTTAACTTGTGTCCGTGTTCACCATGTGCGAAAGTAATTTTGGTGGCAAGTTGATCCTTAAAGATTCTAAATGATCTTTGATGGGTAGAAGCTGCCTACACCACCTTAAAATGTTTGTAGTCCGCAACATTCTTGCTTTTAACAGTAAATTTCTGCCTCTAATTTAACATCAAGGTCCTCACCCATGCAATTCCTTTAATCCAATGCCAGACAGCCTCACCCTCTTTTTGATGGTGAAGTTCAAAGACATTGGTAAATAAAGTCATCTTAAACATTTTTGCAACTCATTTGGTAATTACCTCCGACTGGAGTCAACGTCTTTAAGATACAATTCAGCAATGAACTTTTAACAGGTATCTTCAAAGAATGAAACTAAAAAAGAGTACTGCTGAAGCTTTTAGCGTCTGAGTTCTGGTAAATAATCTTACTTACTTTTTTATCATTTTCCCAGGAAGCTGATGTGGACCCAACCGGAGAAGCTGCCATGAAAACTCAGCAGACTTTGACCTTCTACGAACTTGATCTCGGAAACAACAATGTTGTAAGGAAGTACAGTGAACCGCTAGAAGAACATGCAAACTTCCTAATATCCGTTCCCGGTGGGAATGATGGTCCCAGTGGTGTCTTAATTTGCTCAGAAAATTACCTCACCTACAAGAACCTAGGAGACCAGCATGATATTCGGTGTCCGATTCCCAGAAGGCGGGTAAGTGCACCAATAAATATCATGTTTCTCAAATTCTTAGGGCTTAAGTCCCCGAAGCTGGATCAGCTTGCAGTAACATTTCTCTCTCGCGGAAAATGCCAAGTGAATTTTGGATCGGCCCAAATTAGCAATGTATTTGCCAAGCATGTATGCAGATGATAGCTCAAATTTCCATGAAGTATCACCAATTCTCTCAGCTAAATTTCCTAGTATTCGGAAGGTACACTTATCTATTCTGCCTTGCTAAGGAAAATGCCGAATGAGCCTTTAAGCGCCGGCATATTTCCTTACCAACGAATTTACTGGGGAAATTCTGAATATTTTTCTTCCAGTTTTTCAGACAATTTTGTTCCCAATTTAATCTATAATATCGGAAAATGTAAAGGAGAAATATGCATAACTTTCTTCAAAAATACATGTTATACTCAGGAAAATTTGGCCACTCTTGAACGTTTGTACAGCGTTCTTCCTTAGCATGGCAGTATTCGCCTACATTTATTTAGTTTTCTACGCCATCCATCAAATTCCTGCTTTACGTTAAGTTTTCAACGGAGCAAATACATTACTTTTAACCTACTAATCCTTTCATCCTAACCAGATTTTTCTCATCTTTCCAGAATGACTTGGACGATCCTGAACGAGGAATGATCTTCGTCTGTTCAGCAACACACAAAACCAAGTCCATGTTCTTCTTCCTCCTGCAAACGGAGCAAGGTGATATCTTCAAGGTCACGCTGGATGTGGATGATGATGTAGTCACAGAGATTAAGTTGAAGTATTTTGACACTGTCCCTGTCGCAACTTCTCTCTGTGTACTTAAAACTGGATTTCTGTTCGTTGCATCAGAGTTTGGAAACCAGTAAGTTGGCTTTACATTTCTCACACTTGGAGCACTATCAAACTATTATTTATTTAATTAGTAAAAGTTGGTTCTGATACAAGCACTGATCACTCTTCAATTTCTCACCTCTGTGCTCTTAAAAAAAATAATATTGCAAACTATTTCTTTCTCCTCAGGGAGCGCTATGAACCAACTTTTTAGTCTTACAATGGTATCAGCAGATGTTTTTCAGGGAGGCTGAAGTCTCAAGCTTAACCCTTTGAGTACTACGCCCGAGAATACTCGGGTTGCGGCAAGCCATCGTCACAGACCACGCCCGAGTATTCTCGTGCTGCGCCTCGCGTTCGTATTTCCCGCTCTAGCTCCCTTGTTTTTCAATGAAATTAAGCATACAGCATAATGCACTCTGTCGGCAAGGATATGAACTACATCTTTATCTTATCCTTGACAGAGAGCGCCACTATCGGCGGCTGTATTCCTAGCCCGGCCCTCAAAGGGTTAAAACTAGACTTGCTTGCAGTCTACCTAATTATCCATCAAATTATTTTCAGTCAGTGCTCTGAAGCATGTATCTAGTGTTTTAATCCTGTTTTATTCAAGGTGTAATTCTTGCTGAGTGCCTCAGCTCTTTGAGAAAGAAACCTGTTCACCTCTTACTATAGATTATCCTCAGTGTGCATTTTTTGTTGCCAGTTATTTGTATCAAATCGCTCATTTGGGAGATGATGATGATGAGCCTGAATTCAGCTCTGCAATGCCGCTCGAGGAAGGAGACACATTTTTCTTCGCACCCAGAGCACTGAGAAATCTGGTCCTAGTGGATGAACTGGAGTCGCTCTCTCCCATCTTAGCATGTCAAGTCATCGATTTAGGTAAATTTAGTTGTGCAAGTATTTTTATTGCATCGAAATTAAGATCTCATCTTCAGGAAGATATTGGTTTTCCTCCAAGGGTTCAAGCTGCATGCAATTGAGGAGATGCGTCAAGAATTTGAACTGATGATTATTTTTGTCCGTGTTTCACCTGAGATACACTGATTATTCTCATCTTTTGAATCTGATTAAACTTCTTTGACACAAAAGTTTTTACCTCTCTTGGAATGAACTCCTACCTTGAAGTGTAAATTTATAAACATGTGCAACGTTTGAATGATGATGACTTATTTCATGTCCGTGTTTCACCTGAGATCCACTGATTACACAAATCTAACATACCTCTGATGTTCAACGTTGCTACATCTCAAGAAATTGAAGTCCTCGCCATTAGACTAGTAAAGCAATACCTCTCTTTTTCCTTTTCTGTTTCATTCTTTTTTTCTCATTGTTAAAAAGAGGACTGAAGGCAGACCATTGCCTACGAGAATTGAGAGGCCGTAACTACGATTCTGTGACGTCTTGCTAGTAGATGAAACTAGGCTGCGATTTAAGATGTGTTCTAATGGGAGAACGCATGACACGTGTTCCTTTTGTGCTAATATCTCTTCAGGGGTTGATCTGATGCAAAAATGCATTAGTACCTTTTCGAAAGAAGATTAAATTTCTCTACAGAAAACTGCCTATTCCCTAAATTACATTATCTGATAATTGAGGAAGTAGAAGCTAAACACTACTTAATACCAAAAATCGATGCCCCACTGAGATTCAAACGCGCCGCTCATGCAACTTCGGCCGATCGATGGCGGCTCTGATTGGTTAACATGGCTATTACTCTACTAGTTTAACGCCATGAAACCGAGTAGTTACGTCCTCTCCATTCTCGGAGGCAACAGGCAGACATTTGTCATCTTTATATTTCTTGTATTCATTCCTCTGAGGTCTGTAAAATACCAATCTTATGACATTTGTTTTTTGCAGCCAAAGAAGACACACCGCAATTGTACATGGCTTGTGGTAGAGGCCCACGGTCCTCAATTAGGGTTCTCAGACACGGGTTAGAAGTCTCCGAAATGGCTGTCTCTGAACTGCCCGGTAGTCCCAATGCTGTCTGGACTGTGAAACGAAGAGCTGACGGTAAGATTTACCTTTTGTTTCAACAACTGGAACCTTGGAAGGTTTTACTGAGGATATTGACATTATCCCCTTTGTATTTCGTCATTTCATTGTTAACGACTTGTTGAAGTTAAATTGAGCACCTTTCCGAACCAGACAGAGCTGCTGAAAGTAGTCCTTGTAATAGAAGCCCTCTTATCATAGTATTTGCTTGGCTTACTTTCAAAGCATTGAAACTATCTCTGTGTCTAATTTTAAAGATATAATGCTGATGCTGCTAATATTCTCATTAAAAGTAGTTATTCAGTCACAGGAGTGGCCAAATCAGTTTTCCCTGGACGTATTCCTAATTGTTAATGCACAGTAAAATTTTAATTAATTCTATTGTCATCAGTAAAACCTTGCAAGTGCTCCAAGTTGTCTAGCCATTTTTTTTCTTTTCCTATTTGGTTGCTTGTATTTTTGCACGATTTTTCAAAAGAACTTGTTGCCATTATGACTGTATATGACGGATAGTCCTGAAACAGTCAACATCAAATGGGGTGAGCAACAGAGGGTTTGTTGTGGATATGATTTTCACTACCATTTACCTATGGAAAATTGTAAATGCATGTCTGTCCCGAAAGCCAATTCACATAGGTCGATCATTCCTGTGAATGTGTTTGAGACTCTTTCTTCGCTGTAATGGTGGAAGTTGTAAATGCATTCAACTCCTTTGGGATCATTTCGATATTAGCCCAATCTAAATCATTTGGGCCATGGTAGGGCGAGGGAGTGGATCTCAATGAAACGGGCATTGACTATAAGTTAATTAATAAGATGTTTCCAAATAGCCGTTTAACTATTACCAATAGTTGTGAGTCTGCAGATTTTTTGAGCTTTAAATATTTTTCTTCCTCACTCATTGGTTATTGTGTCGCCGAAAGAATTGTTCTATTTTCGGTACTTGATGAAGAAGTGAATGTAAAGCCGAAGCTAGGTGATTGATAAATACTAAGAAATGATGGATGGTCTACAAATATCGGTAAATCAACTTTCTATGGTAACATGAAAAACAAACTTATGAATGATTTAGTGTTAAGTGAACTAAGTCTGGTGCTGATTTGTTTGCATATATTCGTCCCAGTTGAGTTGGAAGAACATTCTTTAAAGGGGGCAAACTTGGTTGAACAAATGCTAAAATCATTAACAGTAGTAGGAAAAGAGGAGGAAATAGTAAGCAGGGTAGTTGCATGTAGCTGGGACCATAGATCTGATGACTGATTCAAGCAGAATTTTTCGCAAAAAAAACTGTTTTTCGCAGCTACAAGTTCCAAAATTGAGTCGCAAGCTCCAAAAAAGCCAGGTCCAAAGTCGCAAAATCGCTGTAAGGTACAAATGATTTCCATTGGCTGTGACGTCAGTTGGTGTACAAGGCCCCCCGCCCACTGCCATCACCCCTATCTTGACCGTGTGTTTGGCGGAGACATAGCTTCTCAGAAATTGATATTTTTGTGCTGCAACTTTGCGGAATGAAACAACAAGGCCTAGACATACTTTTTCATTGCTCTATCTTGATCATTAGCTCTAACACAGTACTAGCTGAGATTAGGAAAGTGATAACTACAAGTCACTGAGGTTATCTTATGCTGTTGTGATTTTTGGTCACTGGCATAAAGTGTGCTCAACTCTAGCTCTGAATGGCGGTGACGCTCAACCACTGCCGAAGCAATCTGAGCCCTCTCGAATTCATCGGATCGCACGGCCTTCGGCGGCGGCAGAAGATACGCGGAAAGCTCTTTTTCAACTCCTTTTTTCACCGAGAAATGATGAAGAGCCTCCAAAGTTGTTTTAGATTATTAATCACATCCTGAAATTTTCAGTGTCGCAAAGAAATTAAGTCTAGACAGAGAAATAGATTTTTTGCGAATTTTTAGAAATATTGTATTTACATGTGCTTGATATAGGGCGAAGCTGGGTGTATACAATGTGACGTCACGGTGTCCTAGTTCCGAAGCACGGGAGAAGACCCATTTCAAATTGCTTTTGACTTTGGGGAGCTTTTTCTCTAAGTTCTGGTGGCCGGAAATTTTTTTAAAAATACCTTAATACTCAGTGGACCTCTAGCTTATAGAAATTGAATTTAGAAAATGTCATGCTACTACCCTGTTAATTACAATGAGATTTTAAAATCTTGATATTTTTCCATTTATCCTATTTCTAAGTAGTTTAAGTTTGAGTCCAAGCCTTTACTAATATCTCTGGTGAAAAAAGATGGTATTAAATCTATCAAACACCAGTTTTTTTTCTTCCCTAGGTTGTTGGCGTTTGGGTCAAGTGTCTTGAAACTCGAGGTCCAACTCTGAGGTAAGTCTAAAGCGAATTTCTTCGAGCGTTACTGGACTTTCAGCCACCCAGAAGCACATAGCTGCGTGAGGAACTCAAGTTCAGGATAATTTTTTTGATGACTGAGGAGGAGGTGTTCCCAATTTATTAGATAGCTTTTAAGCTGACAAGTGGAAGAGAGAACTGAATTCAGAGAGAAAACAATCAAGGATCAGAAAACTTTGGTGCCAAAGTTTTTTATCATTTTTGTTATAATATTCCTCTTAGCTTGTACTATTTCTGTTGCCTTTTGCCATGAGCTATTTAGTGCCAGGCTCCAGATATTACAAGATCTAGAGGTGCTCGACCATCTGTAGGGCCTTGTCCATCCGAATCCTTCTTTACAGGAAGAATCGTTACGGAGAGTGTAAATTTTCAAGTTGGAAAAATTATTACTGATTAAAACTCTTTGAAAAATTCAGAAATCCCAATGGTTCTATACAAAATTTCCTGTGCACATGCCTGTTTCCATCAAGGAAGTAGAATTAATAAGTTTTTTTGTCAAGACAGAATGAGTGGAAAATTAGAAGTTATGGGGATATGAAGTATCTTCACTAGTAGACTTCTGGTTGATTACCAGCTTTACCATGTGTTGATTTTGGATGTTCAAGGCTCCTATATTTTCTCTTAGGGAAAAGCATGCTTCAATTAGAACTGTTCAGTTTTTTTGCAGGCTCTTCAGGGCCTATTTGCACAGTAGTGTTTTTGGTTTCTTCCGAGGCCTTAGTCAAATTTTTGAAATTACTTATGCTTATTTTTCATTGCACCCTTAGCAGAGATTTTGTTGCATTTGAATGTACGGTTGACAAGGTAATGAAAATGGAAAGATTTTTTGTTTCAGAGGAGTTTGATGCATACATCATTGTGTCCTTCGTGAACGCTACTCTAGTGTTGTCGATCGGTGAAACGGTTGAAGAAGTTGCTGACTCCGGGTTCTTAGGAACAACACCAACTCTATCTTGTTCTGCCCTTGGTGATGATGCGGTTGTACAGGTTTGTGTGATTCAGTACTCAAATTTTCTAATGAATCACTATATACTTCATTAATCGGAAAATACCTACACAAACTTGTCTGGAACTGAAAATGGCTTCATTTTTGCTAAATTAATTCAGATAAAAGTTTTTAACCTCTGCATTTTCAAGCTTCGTTCGGTAACTCTATCTGTGAAGGCTTTACAGGGTGATTATAAAGCCAAATGTCATTAATATACGATTATTTGAAAAAACGCTAAGAAGTGGCCCGAACTGTATGTAGCAAGGTGGAGAAATCTGTAGGTCTATTCGTACTGGTACGCATTAGAGTTCAAAAATTTAATTTTGACTCTTAATTGTAATTTTTGGAATTTCTTGGCTTTGTTTCCCTGCGAAATGGTGTGGACCCAGCACCATTTCTCCACCTTGTTATGTACGATTATATTGTACGTATGGCTTCATATGAATTTTTGGCTTTTCCCCCCTTACAAGTAGGTTTCAACTTAATATGGTCTAACACCCTTTGCAAGCATATTTATTGCGGACTCCTCAAGTCCCAGATTTAAGGGGCAACAACATCACTATTAATTATTTCCTCTGCACTGTGTATTTTGATTATTACTCTATTTCCTGTCCTTTCAGGTCTATCCTATGGGTGTACGTCACATTCGAGCCAACAAAAGAATGCATGATTGGAAAGTCCCAGGGAAGAAACAAATTGTCAAGTGCGCAGTCAACCAGCGGCAGGTTGTGATCGCTTTAACTGGCGGAGAACTTGTTTACTTTGAGTTGGACCCTGTAAGTATCTCTCAGACCTAATTTAGGAAGTTATTGTACAAACTCTCTACTCCTCATTGCAGAGAATGATGCTACTCAGTGCAACAATGATGAGTCAAAGTGCTTTCAGAATTTCTGTTGAGGCTAATATTCCGTCACTACCTCTGAGTTGCCACCTAAGGTTACAATAACCTCTACTATTATTAGTACGCGCATTTTCTGTTTACTCCTAGCTGTTGATAGCAACGTTACCAGATATTACTGAATCGTCACAAAATTGAATTACTAACCATGGTTTTATTTATGAGTCTTGCTCTGTACCAAGTTGTCGCACTCTCTGTTGTCATGTATCTAATTACAATTTCCTTTTTTTTTGACAGTCTGGTCAACTGAATGAGTGTACAGAAAGGAAAGAAATGCCATCAGATGTTCTTTGTATGGCGCTTGGAAACGCACCAACCGGTGAACAGTTATCAAGGTTTTTGGCTGTTGGCCTTGCAGATAACACTGTCAGAATTATTTCCCTCGATCCCACGGTAAGTTTAGTCGCCCATCAGTACCGGGCTGCCATGCATAGCAATAATGCTGCTAGTTATTTTCATTTGTCAGAATGATCTGTGTGTTTTAGTAAGGGTCATTAGAAGGATCTATTTGTCCGCATCAGTTACGCTAAATCATGTAGAATCCCAAACTTTTATCATCCTATTGTTTAGAACTCTCTAACCGTAAGGTGCATTAAAACATATGTTTTTATAGTAAATTAGGTGAAGTGCGCTTCTCCAGTAACCAGAATAGAAAACAAGTTTTTTATTCAAATTGCTCTTTGACTATTGCAGAGGTGTCTAGCACCGCTCAGTATGCAGTCTCTTCCATCAGTCGCAGAATCAATGTGTATCGTCGAAATGGGTGCCAGCGATGGTGGAGGATCCGCCGATGAACCAGCTGGGCCTACATCAATTGGTGCCCTATACTTAAATATTGGCCTCCAAAACGGCGGTCTCCTTCGTAACGTCTTGGACCCAGTCACTGGTGATCTGTCCGATACGAGGACAAGATACCTTGGAACAAGGCCTGTCAAACTGTTCAGAATCCGGATGCAAGGAGGCGAAGCGGTAAGCCTTTAAAGTCATTTCTCATGAAAGTAATTCTCCTTGATAGTCTCTTAGTAATTGTTAGTGCTAACAGATTTAGGATTTGCTAGTTACCAGAATTGATGGTGATTGATAAACCCATTACCTTGCCTTTTTCTGAGGAATAGCTCTTCAAAAAATTTCCAATCCTCTCAGAGCTCCCAAGATCTTGATTTTTGCCGAACACTTGAAATTTTTCAATGTAAACTGAGCTTTTTCAATTTTTCGTCTACCTTCCTGGTTGTGGAGCTTACAATTAGACTGTCAATATCTGAATCCTCTAGTTGGAAATACCATGCTGATGCTGGGACTTAATTCTCTTGGTACCTTGTTCGTTAGTATTGTTGACAATGATTATACCCTTTTTATAGTATACGCATTCTGGTGATTCAATATGATCAGAACTTGCCCTCGCTGAGTCACGTCTGTTAAACCCTGACTTGGGTACCGTCTGGAGCACTTTATATTTTGTTAATTCTTAAATTTTCGAAAAGTGTTCGGAATTTCCCCCAGATTATTTTAAAGGATCTTAAGCTCTGGAGGGAAACCCTTTGAAAAATGGTCAGCAGTTGCTCAGAAATTACGCCCATTGATTTTTTCGTCTTTAACGCTTAACATCTTGCTTGCAGGTACTCGCCATGTCAAGCAGATCGTGGTTAAGTTATTATTATCAGAATCGTTTCCATCTAACGCCTCTCTCTTACGAAAGTTTGGAGTATGCCTCTGGATTCTCTTCGGAGCAGTGTCCAGAAGGTGTGGTTGCCATCTCAACGAACACCTTGAGAATTTTGTCGCTAGAGAAGTTGGGAGCTGTTTTTAACCAGGTATGTCCACGTACATTCTTATCCTATTTTAAAACTATGTTGTAAATTTTTTGTAATTCACATTTCTGAATGTAACCACATTTTGGAGTTAGCTAAGATTCTGTCCATTAGCAAATGAGCTAAATTTCTTTCGTTCAACATTAGTCAGCACCCTCATCATTTATCCACCCCTCTTCATTTGAAGACTGCAGGGCATTATGAATAATCAAGAACAGGGCAATGGCGGAGAAAACAATTTGTCATCGAGTAATTCTGCTCACGGTAACATCTCAAGTTTTAGGGAAAGTTAATAGTATGAATGATGTAAGGATGTATCCAGTTCTTACCAACGTATTGCACAGTGTGAAAATGTGTTATCCCAAACAAATGATCGTCCTTACCTGATAAAATCACAAATCATGAAAGGGAACTGGAACTGATTCAAGAAAGGAGGATTAAATCCCTCTTATTGTCAAGCAAGACTGCAAAAGTATTTTAACTTGAAGGTTAAGAAGATAGTAATCCTATTTATGGAATCGAAAACAACTATTTCCCCACTATTTTTTTATTTTAAGGAAACTCTTCACTGACTCTAAAATTAATCTACTTTTTTGCTCTTTGTAGGTGTCTTTTCCAGTCGAGTATACCCCTCGTAAATTTGTTGTTAGACCAGAAACCTCACATCTTATAATTGTGGAGACAGAACACAATGCGTATACCGAAGAAACAAAACAGCAAAGGAGGCTTCAAATGGCTGAGGTATGTTAATCCTTTCTTTTTTCCAATTTCTGTATCGCATTAGAAGCCAGTTTCTGCCAACTGCTACAGTTTGCCTTCAAATTTGCAGCAACCTTAGAGACATGAAAAAAAGTCAAGTATAACAGACATCGCTCCAAGGTAGCTGTTAGGTCAACTCTCAGTAATTTAAGGTTCAGATACGTGACGATTGAGTGCTCTCCTCATTCAGTGTAAATTATTTAAAAAAGGGCTTCCGGGGACTGGCATGGCGTGGCCGTTTATGTGTTTACACCCGATCCTCATGGAATCAGAGCTGTGTGATTTTCGGAAGAAAAATAAACTTTTAACCTTCATCGAATCGCTGAACTTATACAGAAGAACTCTTCAATGCTAAGCAATTTAATGAATTTGTGATTCTTGTGTTGTGAAATTGAAGTGCTGCCATACCTAAGCACGGTGCCCCTGAACTCACTTTAAATGCGACTTTGTTGTACATCAAAAATTCAAGTTGGAGGTTGTAGTGAGGTACCCCCTGATGGGTTTTTGGGCAATTTCGAAATAGGTTGTCGGAGCTCCTCGAAAAATAATCGCATTTTAGTGGTTTTTTAGGGGTAAAATAGCAAAATCGGCCTCGGGGCGACAAATTAAACCCCCTCTCCCTCATCCTTGCTTTGACCGATCTGAATTTTTAGTATGTTTTTACCTGGTATAAGATGGGACTTTTCTGAAATTTTCATGCCCATACAATTTTTTTTGCTCCCGCGGCAGCGTTGCCAAGTTGCGGA